TTTTACGCTGGTACTCTATGGTTAAAAAAGTAACAATTAAATCTTTATTTGAGATTTAACTCTTCGTATGTTGATTTTTTTTAATGGAATATTGTTGTTTTATGTGGAGAATATTAGAATGTATTAAAAAAAATCTCATATTGAATTTAAGAATGAATTGAATGTATATAAGCTTAAGGAAATTTTTATCAAATTCACTTAAACTATTTTGATAAAAAAAAATTTGTGAAGTTTAATATCATGCATATAGAGTTATTCAATTTGAGAAACACAAAAAAAAAGGAAAAAAAATCAAAGAGAAGAAGGGAGAGAGGAAAAAAAAAAAGATTGTAGACCTAAAACCTCTCAGACTCAAAAGAAGTATAAACAGAGGCGAAGAGAATAAGGGAAAAAAAATGAATGAATCAAAGACAAAAGCAAGATAAAATATATTGAAAAGTTCAACATTGATTACCTAAAGAATGTATGAATTGAAGACATATAACCTTAAAATAAGTTCCATCAAATTAATTAACTTACTCTGATATGCAAAGACAAACATAATGTACATACATAATTTTACAAAGTTTAATAGAGGCCACTATTAGTACTTGATAATCAATGATATCAATTAACTTGAAGAGCACCGAGGCTTAAACAAGGCAAGTTTTGAAATATGTAATTTTTATATTCATAAGATTGAAAGCTAATTTTTATCTGAGAAGTGATAGATGTTTTTCTGTTCAATAACTATTTATTGAGTAGCTAATATCATTAGATCAAAATCTAGCATCATTTCACCTACTTACGTGTGGTAGTTTTCTCAATGATTTTTCCACTGCAAGATAACTGCACTTAAAAAGTCTCTTGTACTCAAATGAATAACGTTTGCATGATCTTTGTGTGTGTGTGTGTGTGTGTGTGTGTGTTGATATATGTACACTTTCAATATGATACACCATGCAAACTCTTGGATGGAAAAGTCGCACGTGTGCAACATTTACATTTTGATAGTCTCTTAATATTGTTTGAGCCGAATTTAGAATTCACAAGAACTTAAAGATTTTGCTTGAAAAGAAATTGAGAAAAGCGAGGGCAAAAATAAAAATTCTTAGTTAAGTAATCAAACTAAGGTCGGAATACTGAAATCCAATTAAAAAATAAAAACAACTCTAACAGTAGGTAGTAATACACGTGTCTTTAATTTGCTCCAAGTTCTCCTGGTTCAAGTTCAACAATCAGACATTATTGCCACAGTCATATACATTGCTAGTCCCGTAACTAAGAGACAATGAGAAGTCTCGTTATATTGTGTAAAAGTTATTGGAATTAGCATAGGCAGGTACAGTTCAAGATCCTGTGCTTGAATTTTGAGTTACAATTTTAGTTACACAATTAAGAAATCAAAATGGAACCTTGTGGGATAAAATTGGCAAAAATATAATTTTAGTCCTTTAACTTTACATAAAGTTTCATTGTGGTCCCTTAATTTCAAAATATATTTTTAATCTTTTAATCATAATATTGTTAATGTCATCACACAAAAAATTTTATATTGAATTTTTAAATATTGATAAAATATTTTCAAATGTTAACTTATTGAGTTTATTTTTTAAAAATAACAATGATCAACACAAAAAATAATCATTTAAAACTAAAAGTATTAAGATTAAAGGATTAAAAATACACCTTATAAAATTAAGGAACAAAAATAAAATTTTAAGTAAAATTAAAATATCAAAAGCATATCTTAGCCTAATTAATTTTAAAAATATACACATGAACTGAATAAATAGAGAACAGTTGAATAAGGAATCAAAGTGTTAAAATAATAAAAATAGAAAATGAGCGAGAAGTAGGTGGACTATACATGTAAAGGGCAGTAGCATAAAATGAAATTCCGCACTAAAGACCGAAACTTTAAGCGTGGGGTGTTTAAGCCCTCAGGTTGTCCCCTCGCACGTCCAGTTCAATCAATGATACGGATGGACTCATTCCCCAAACCTTGAAAACACTGCATGTTGCATGTAGCCACCATTGCATACAATATCTCTCGCAGTTGGGAAATCTTTACCCAAGCATTTCGACGACATTATTCTGGAAGACAGGAACTGATCAAAGCGTGAGGGTTAAGTAATTAGCGTATGAAAATATATGCAGTGTATATTCTTCTGTTGAGTCGATATGCAGCTTTTAAAAAGCTTAAATTTAATTAAATATGATTACAGCTGGGAAATATCATCTCACCGTCTTAAAATATCAGTGCTTAATGCAAAGAAGGAAGGAATAAGATATGGAGATCCGTGTCTAAGAGCACAATATTAAGTTGGGTGTGCCAAACTGGGTTCCTTCTTCATTACAAATTAATTAATAACACTAAATTAATTTTGGGACATTTATAAGATTCCCGAAAAGCTTGACACAGCTAAAGCAATACCCTTGTCCCATATCCCATGTTCACTTGTGTTTGATCCTCCATGATCTTGTTCGTACGAAGATCTAATAAGTGGTGTGCTTCAAGCCTTTGTCTTGCAGCTGGTGGGTAGGAACCTCTTGATCAATCGTCAATCAACAGGACCTTCTACGGCTACCTTACAACAAAAGGAGGAATATATATATATATATATATCAACTTTAAATTTGCTTTAAATATCCCAAAAAACTCCGAAACGTTTTCTATCTCCTGATGTGCACGAACCAAATCAAGAAAGCCATTTTGAGTTGCTCCCCAGGAATGTATGTGTGTATGCACGTGTGTGTGCTCCATGCGTTTCTATATAATATATATATATATATATATATCAAATAGTTTAAGAAAATTAATTAATGATAATAATTATATTTGAAAATAAAAAAATTAAACTAAAATGTCCTATGTTAATTAATATAAGTATGCATTAATTATTTCTCGTTAATGTAAATTATGAGGAGTGATTTAAGAAATATCTAATAAATACTTATTAAAATATCTGATTTTGCTTATATAAAAAAATAAAAAATAATAATTTATCTTATAAATAGAAATGGAATAATACAAGTTAATAATGACATGTTGAGGAGTGTAAAATTGTGTCATCTGCTAAAATTAGCACACAAGAGGGTAAGTGCCACAAAAAAGTAAGGTACATATTGTTAATTATTAAATTCTTTATATTGAGTATATGGCTGAGGGTAATTGATCACTTCACTAAAATAGTTTAAATCATTTAGTTAGATACACATCCTAAATCTTATATGTTTTTAATCTATCTTTTAATTTTTAGATATATAATCTCTACATATGGCAAAATTAAACTTACAAAATTCCCATGCTTGTACCCTTTAAAAGATGATAAAGGAGTAAAAATACTCATAAAATAATTAGTTAGAGGCACCTAATATCCTAAAGTGAAAAAAAGGGTATAAATATCCATAATGTTGCATGAGTGGGTGCAAAAGTGATTAAATTGTAAACTTTTTTCTAAAGCTGTTAACTTTTATCGTTAAATACTGGCTATACATGTCACTGTTAGTCTTTGCTAATACGAGCCTATAAAGGGATAAAAATACTCACGAAATTGTCGACCAAGAGTAAAAATACTCATATCGTTATCAAAGTTGGTGCAAAAGTGACAAACCCATCAAATTCCTTAAGTGTTGATTATTTAGCTGGAATCTAAGTAGAAGTTGACTATTTTTGTTGACATGGATAAAAAATATTCCTAGATGAAATTCTTTGAAAGTTAGTCGATCATCATATGTATATCATATGATAAAATATTATTTTGACCAAATATTAAATTAAATCGCTTATTTCTTTACAGTAATAGTGAAAACTATTTAAAAATTTTGAATCTATCATGAATAAAAATTATTTAAAACTGTGACAATGTTCTTAAAGTAGAGTGGTGTAGAAGGTATGCTAAGTCTTAATCTTTAATTGTGTATAACCTATCTCATTATGTTAAATTTCAAGTTTTGCAGACAAGAAAAATAAGTAAAGAGGGAGGGAGGAGGAGGGTGGAATATGAGATGATGGAAAGAAATCATGTAACATAGATTTTGATTGATTGGTCACTATTGCACCTACTAAAATAATATTATGGGTATTCATATGATAATCGATCAACCTCCATAAAAATTCATATAGAAATATTTTTTGTCTACATTAGCAAAAAAAATCATCAACTTTTTCTTAGATATCATCTAAACTATCAATATTTAAAATATTTGATGAATTTGTCACTTTTGTACTAACTCTAGTAATGTTATGGGTATTTTTGCTCTTGATCAGTGATTTCGTGGGTATTTTTATCTTTTTATTAGTCCATATTAGTAAAACCTAACATGTGGCATGCATAGTCAGTATTTAATGGTTAAAGTCAACGGCATTGGGATAAAATTAATGGTTTGATTACTTTTACATCCATTCACGTAACATTATGAGTATATATGTTATTTTTCTCACTTTATGATACTGAGTGCTCCGATTGATTATTTTTTAAGTATTTTTACCTTTTCATGCTTTAAAGTATCCAAGCAGGTACTTGCTGAGAGTTCTACAATTTGCAGTGTTACGGAATTAATGGCAGTGTGAACGTGCAAAAATGGAGGTGCTTTGGTGAAAAAGGTAAGAATTTAATTCAACAGTATTGGCAAATGAGAGAAAGGAGAAGGAAGGAGAAGAATGATTGCCCCGGTTAGCGAAAGAGAGCAAATCATAACATATCTGTGTGTAGATAGTACAATATTTACTCAGATCAAAGAGAAGGTGCGGTAAAATGTAGTCATAGAGGAAAAGGAAAAGGAAAAGGAGGAGGAAGAAAAAGTAAAGCCTATTGCAACAGAACCATCTACCAACTCCGAGGCTACTCGAAAACCAATGGAGTATAGCCAAAGAATCTTGTTCTTGTTCTTTGTCCTTGTCCTTGTCTATGTGGTCTTTTCCACCGGAGCTGTTCAACTTGTTCGGTCCATGAATATTGGTCATACCAAATCACTTGAAATGATGAATCTGATTCTGCCGTGGCCGCTTCCGCTAAGCATGCCCCAGCAGCTTCTGGTTATAAATATTCAGCCTCGGGATCTTCAAATTCCAACCATCGAAGCCAAGACGCTTCAATTCCCGAGTGTTTGTTAACCACTCTTCGATCTCTCACCCACCACCACTCAGGACGACAAGAAACATCATGGCGGGAAACAACAGGCAGAGGAAGTCGTCGTCGTCATCCTCGTTCACGTCGATCTTCAACATCTTCAGGTCCAGCAGGAGAGAAGATTACTCCGAGCATAGCGGTGAAGGGACGTCGATGGGGTGGACAAAGGTGTGGCGGAGTGACGAGGACAGAGGTCAGTGGGGGGCAGCTGAGCCGGGCATTGACAAGAAAGCTGCAGATTTCATTGCACGTTACAAGAAGAAAGTCACCGAGTCTGAAGTTCATTGCTTGCAAGCTCCGGTCGAGTAGCTTTCTACTAGTAGGATATCCTTCCGTTAGACCATTAATTATTCAAGTCTGTTCTTCGTTCGTGCTCTCTATTCTGATTTAAGTGTTGATTATATCTGTAGTTGATCAATTAATGGCAATAAATCTATGCCTACAATGTTATTGTACGTAGAACTTGATGAAAAAGTGGCACTTAGAAGTGGTGTATTGTGTGTGTGTGTGTATATGTGGGTGTTTTGCTTTTTGTGTTCTCTTCCTGTTTTCTCTTTCTTATTTTCTAAAATAATAATAATAATAACAATAATAATAATAAATCAGAACATCCAGACTTCAATATTTATACGACTTTTTTCTGAAGAACAATATCCCATATTTTTGATTAAGAGATGTATTTTCTCCTCTGCAAAAAGAAACCAGTGCAAATTTAGACTATTAAATTGAATTTAAAAATTTGGATTTAATAATTTATAAAAATATAAATTTAATTTAAACAGTTCATTTTTAAAGTGGAAAGGCAGTGGAGAAAGGAAAAGGCAAAGGAAAGAAATCCACCCGTTTTGATTAAAACAGCATTAATTTATACTGTTAGTTATTGGAAGTAATTATGTCTTATACTTAGTTTTGATTGCTTTCTCTTTATAAAGTACTCATGAAGAATGAATCTAATTTTAAAAGGGGTCTAGTGTGCTAGCTGCTTAATAGTTGACAAAATCAAAAAAGCTGAACTTGTGTATGTGTTAATTTTTCTTGCAAAACGAGCGAGAAAATGGAGCCAAATAATAACAGAAGTTAAACTGATAAATATATGCCCGTGAAAATAAATCTAGCTAGTTAATTTGATTTCCCTCTTATAGTTGTTTTACTGAAGACTCATGCTAGTTTTAAATAAAAAGAAGCTATCTATTGACATGGTAGCAACAAGACTAAGATGATCAGACAGAATTTGGTTTTTGTTATTTCATGCAACGAAAATTAGTTATTTTATGTAATCACTAGTTGTTTATACAATTAAAATGATTTCAATATCTTTAATTACAGACAAATAATTATTCCATACAAATTGAAATATTTTAAATTAATTCAATATTCAAGTTTTATTAATTATAAAATGAAGCAAAAGGAATTTAAACTTGAATTTAAATTTGAACCAAATCCTTCATCTAGATGTATAAAAATTTATGAATTTGTATTTACTTAAAATTCAAATCCATTTTTTATAATTTTTTTATTATTTCAAATCCTTTTTCCATCTTGTTTTAGTCATTTGAAATTATAATCACTTCAAATATCTCTTTATTTCTGTGTTTTCACTATTGATATTTTCATAACTCTTGTATTTTTTATCATTTCTTATTGATTTAAAAGTAAAAAAAAATTCATTATTTTCAATTTTCAATTTTCAATTTTTTTTTAAATCCTAACTTGTCTCTTTTCTCCTCTTAAATTTTTTTAAATTATCCCAACAAAATATTTTAAATATATTAATTTTAAATGTGAGATTTAAAATGTAATATTTTAAATATAAAATCAAAATTATAATCTACCAATTCAAACATTATCTTAGTTAATTGTACTATGAGAAGATTGCTTTCAAAAGAATAAACAAAATACAACCAACACCTAGCAACAAGTAAGAACAGAGAAAAGGTTTTCAAAATTCTAAATTTAGAATTTTCTATTTAACATTATCCTTTTCCTTTCCCCACAAATTTTGAAAAATAATGTAATACGTACACACACACACACACACATATATATGAATGTTGCTAACAGCTGTAGGAATTTTTTTGGGCCGGAAGGAAGAAAAGCTAGCTATACTGCTAACAGGTTGCCAGTACAAGTCATGGATATAGAAGACACGTGGAGCTTGCCTGGCCTGCGAAACGATGTAGCTATAGAGATGTTGAGGTTCCACAAATGATGGAAAGTTTGCTTGATTTCGTGAGTTTTAATTTCAAGTGATGGATCGATTCAATTTGCAGACACGTCAGGTGAATTAGATGAACCAAGTGCAAGATTCCTCTGTAACGCCATCCACGATTCGCTGCAAAGAGTAATGCGAGTTTGAGAATCTTAGTTAAAGAGGAGCCTTGTATATATAATGCAATATTATATGTAAACACACTTATATCATTGCGAAATAAAGCGAAGGATATTGGTAGATGGAGATGCAAGGTTCGGTGGGGTTGAAAAGGAGGATCCAACAGAGAGGCAGACAACAGACGAGAACCACTGGAGAAGCAGCTCCACTTGTCTCTATCTCGGATGAAAAAGTATGGAATCTACCTTCGTTTATTATTAATCTCAAATGCTCACCATTCAACATGCGTTGTCTCTTGCACTGTCTTTCAAAAAGATCGACACCAGACGTCTCTCATTATCATTAATTCACAATGCACTTTTCAACTCGCATGTCCGTTCATGTGTACATATCAGTCGCTTGTGATTGGATCTGCTTTAATTGTTAACTCTGCATGCTTTCTCTTTATTCTGAATCGAGACACGGAGGAAGGAATCTGGTGCAGAGACTGCTGGCTCTGTAGATGGAAGTGAAGATTTCCCAACTGCGAGAGATATTGTATGCATGAATGAATTCATTGCGATTAAAAACAACTCTAACAGTAGGTAGTCTTCGCTGTACAGTAGTAATATACGTGTCTTTAATTTGCTCCAAGTTCTCCTGGTTCAAGTTCAACAATCAGACATTATTGCCACAGTCATATACATTGCTAGTCCCGTAACTAAGAGACAATGAGAAGTCTCGTTATATTGTGTAAAAGTTATTGTAATTAGCATAGGCAGGTACAGTTCAAGATCCTGTGCTTGAATTTTGAGTTCCAATTTTAGTTACACAATTAAGAAATCAAAATGGAACCTTGTGGATAAAATTGGCAAAAATATAATTTTAATCCTTTAACTTTATATAAAATTTCATCGTAGTCTCTTAATTTCAAAATATATTTTTAATCTTTTAATTATAATATTGTTAATTTCATCACACACAAAATTTTACATTGAACTTTTAAATATTAATAAAATATTTTTAAATGTTAACTTATTAAGTTTAATTTTTTAAAATAATAATGATTAACGTTAAATTAAAGGACTAAAAATATACCTTATAAAATTAAGGAATCAAAATAAAATTTTAAGTAAAATTAAAAGATCAAAAGTATACCTTAGCCTAATTAATTTTAAAAATATACACATGAACGGAATAAATAAAGAGCAGATGAAAGAAGGAATCAAAGTGTTAAAATAATTAAAGTAGAAAATGAGCGAGAAGTAGGTAGACTATACATGTAATCAAAGTGCAAGAGACAACGCATGTTGAATGGTGAGCATTTGAGATTAATAATAAAGGAAGGTAGATTCCATACTTTTTCATCCGAGATACAGACAAGTGGAGCTGCTTCTCCAGTGGTTCTCGTCTGTTGTCTGCCTCTCTGATGGATCCTCCTTCTCAACCCGACCGAACCTTGCATCTCCATCTACCAATATCCTTCGCTTTATTTCTCATTTCTTGCCTCCCGCGCAATGAATTCATTCATTATATGTGTGTTTACATATTAACCGTCCATGATTTTGATAATGACCAGATAGGCTTGGGGCCGAGGGAATATTATAACGCTGTTGAGGCCATGATTAAAAACATTAAAGAAGCACCTCCTGAGATCTCTGTTAGATTTTCCTTTTGTGGGGCAATGAATCCGTTGGATTTCCGGGTCAAAAAAAAAAATCCGTTCGATTCTGTGTTAAACCCACTATGGGCAAAATGACAAGCTTTGCTCTTTTTGACTACTTTACTTTGTGAGATGTTCATGTTGATTGTGATCCCATGCCTTGATATTTTGATCCTGGCAAAAAGACCCCAAATTTTCATATATCACTCTCAGAAAAATGCATTTTGTAAACAATCACATAAACCATATAGTTAATTTTTGAATAATGATAAAGGTTGAATATAAATTCAATTATTGGAATATGCAGAACTCTCGGAACCATAATAAGCTCAGAAGGTACGGCCCATTTTGAGACGGTTTGCTGCGTTTGTCGTTGCCCGTTTGAATAGTGCGTATCCCTAATTTGTATTATTTAGATCAAATTTAGGTTCTTAATATATTTATTTTATTGAAATAAAACCAAAATTACTATATAAAAAATTCATATAAAATATTTCGGCCAAATTTATACGTAACTCCTTTATCAATTAAAAAAATTACACATTACTCATTTTTGCTCACATGTCCACTTGAGTGTTTTTTTATTTTCCCCTGAGCTGAAATGGGCACATCAGAGTATTGGGCCTTAATGCACGATGTTTCTTTAAAGCCCGATACTAGAAGCCCATAACGGGACCAATAATCTCTATTGAAGGCCCAATTTTGAATGGGAAGATGTATCAATTAACCAAAAAGTCCTGCCAAAAAAAAGTAACGAAAAAGATTTCCCAAAAAAAAGTGTACAGTACAACTCATATAACTTCCTCTCATCTGAAAAATAAATGATATAAAATTTATATATTTAATATATTTTTATCTAATTAAATTTATATATTTATATATATAAATTTTAATATGTTAATAATATTAATAATAAAAATTTATTATAAATTAAATAATTTAAAATTAAGTATATTTTAATTTAATTAGAAACTAGGCTTCCTCCTTAACAAGGCCTGATTATATATTTTGAAAGGATACCCACCGGAAAAGTCATGGATTCCATAGCTTGCGTTTATCGAAAGCTTCGAGGCCGGTAAGCTCTAGCTCTTGGCTGTCTGAATTTCAATTTCAATCTCCCCCTTTGAAACCCTAGCTCTCTGATATCCCCACTCTGATATGATCCCTCAATGGAAGTGAATGAAGCATTCATCTTGCCCTTACAAAGAATGCTTTCACTTTGGTGTTTGCCCCTGCAATCGCCTGGTGATCATGCCGTGATACGACTAGTAGCACGTTTGGATTCCCTTTAAGATATTATCCTTGTCCTAGCGTGATGATTTATGACGTATTGCTCATTTCAAGATCACCTATTTTTGGGGGAGCCATGGTAATCTTAAATTCCATTGAGCAATTCTTTTATTCTCCTAGAATATTACAAATGACTGATCGTTAAGTGGAAACTTCTTAAAGATCAAGTCTTTTATACTTTTTTCTCTGTTCCCTTTTTATTTTTAATGTCAAAAGTCAAAACAATGAGTTTGTGAAACTTATAACAATCATTGGCCTATTTTAGCTAATCATTCTAGAGTATCGTGTTACGGTTTCCGTAGATTCTAAATTCATGTATCGGGTCTCGAGATTATTACATATTGAAGACAACTTAGGTTTATATCTGGATAGGATATTCCTAGCTCTTCTAAGAAGAGCATGTTCTGTTTTTGTCTTGAACATCCGTTATTCACAACGATAAACGTGTTATTAGTGATATAAATTATGTAGCGGTGTCATGATCAACATGTGAAAGTGAAAATTAACTGTCACTAACTTATTTTTGGTTTATTTCATCTTAGCATTGACGTTGTCTTCGTAGATGCTTTTACTTCGAAAATTTGTAGCTGTTCAGTGAATAAATGCCCGGGATCACACGCGAGGGATATGAAAAATAATCACCTTATGCAGATGACTTCCCAAATCCCTCCGAGTTAGTTATTGGTATGATATCAGATGGTGCTTTTTATAATCATTTGATGTTTTATACAAACTGTTGAGATTAAACTTCCACAGTTTTTGAATCTGCAAAGTCAAGAGCTCATTGCCACTACGGCAGTAGCCCCGGCAGTCGGCGATCCTGTCTTCACATGGTGGTAGGCTGATAGCCCTTTTTTCCCTATGCCGTAGAAACTACTTCACCGAGTCTGCTTTCCTAACTATCCACTTATCTTCCTATGTTTTTTGAATTACTTGGATTTGTGTCAACATAACTTGGGATCTTAGGCAGAAAGTTAGGTCTACAATACACAACTACCTGCAAGCACTTTTTTTCCAACCATCTACCATATATATGACTGATATTTGGCTCAATTTCGATAGTTGTTTTATATTTGCTGCTATTCTATTTCACTTTTAAATCAAGGTCAATTACTCCTCCTGAAGCCACTGTTTCGGTGGCCTCTTTTATGAAAGGTAGTGAATCTTCTTTTCCCCTCTGTCTATCTCTCTTTTGTTGCTCTAGAAGGACTAAGGTTCTAATGTTCACCTATAAAATTTCACAATTCAAATGGGATTTAGGACATGAAATGCCCAAAAACAAGATTCTACATTTATCAGGCGGTGAATCTGTTTAACTAGTAAATAACATTAAGTCCTAACGTAAGGAAAATAGCTTCAAACAAACTCATCCATCTTGTTTCTGATGTTGTTTATGTTCTTCTGGATCAGGCAATCAATGTCATCAAGATCCACTATCGTCTTGTCATCCAGACTTTCCCCTTCAACACACTGGAACAAAGCTAGCTCCATCACCTTCTCACGATTCTCCTTACATTGCTTCTTGAGCTGGACGCTAACTTTGGCAATCGTTTGCCTAGTAAAACTCTCTTGGTTCAAATTCTTTCTTTCATCCAGCGCAAGTGTATCCTGAAACCTTGCGATTACCTGTTGAGCTCCTTTTGAATCTGGCCACACCTGTGGTTTAGGTTCATAGGAGCTGAAAACAACAGCACATGCTTCGATCCCACAAAGAGTGGTTAGCTCGCTCACCTTCTTGGCAAGACCCTTCTTCCTTTTCTTATATGTTGTTTTCCTTGCAGCGTCGTTGGAGAGATATGCAAGAGTAACCCTGTTTCTGGTCATGGCGCGTTGACAAGGAATATAGGTAAGAGTAATCTAGAATTGTTCACGCGTGCAATAACCTTAGGCAGGCTGTGCGTTTTATAGTTCTACTTCACCTGTTGACAATGAATGCGCAGCACGTAAAGCCCACAGGGGTGCTTGATACAATGTTAGGTTTAAATGAGTTTCCATTTCTGGACGATCTTTGAATCTGGGCTCTGATTTCCAATGTATAGAATTTATGATTTGCGTGAAGGAACTTGAGCTGGGTAAATTGGCAACGTGACCACTTATTTCCATTTGAATGGCGGAAATCATAAATTATAACCGCTTTTGGATCTCATTTTACTTTCAGATTAGTCACACATGTTCGTTGTATCTTTCACTCATTAATAGCATGATTAATGCATTGTTATTGCATTTAAATAAAGTCAATCCTTTGCTGTGCTTCCCAAATTTTTAGTCCTTGTATTTGTCTTTTGACTTTTGAGCGCTTGTTGGTCATGCTTCCACTTCCTTTCAGTTTTCGAATTGCATTTTTGTTAATGTAACTTTGTAAAGAAAGTATATCTGTAGATGCGTATAGTTTTATTCAATTTTAAATTACGTGTCTGTGTTTTATTTCTATTTTAATTAAACCTTTATAATTTGATCAATTAAATTTTTTAATCCTTAAAAGTTAAAGTCCTTAAATTTTTTTTCTTAAAAAAACAAAATTAAGAACTTTTATATTTTTATTAATTGATTATATGACTTTAGAATTAATTACATAATTTTTATTACTCAATTTATATAATTATGCTGTCTTCTAAATATTTTTTTATACATGAAGAATTTTCATTAAAAAATTAGTAAAATGTGAACAGTGTATTAAATCAGTGTTGGCTAAAAGTAATAAATTAAATTTTCTGTAAACTCGAATAGTATTTTTGTTTTTCAAAACTTAATAATTTATTATTAATTTTAACTTTTAAGGGTTAAAATATATAATAGATGAGGGCTGAATTAAAACAAACTAAATTGTAGGGATCTAACTCAAAATTGAGTGAGATTATTGGAACCTGCAAATATATTTTTTTCAATTATGTTTGGTTGTATCTAAACCACATTAAAAAAAGTATAGGGATCTATAGCAAAATATGAGTAAAGTATAAAGATTTAAAGTTTTGTTTTTCCTTATAATAATGATGTTTGAAATTGAAATGTTTGGATCAAAAAGTTGTTGTGATTGATGTTTACTTTGTTTTTCTAGTTTAATGATATATTATCTATTTATGAGAGATAATTTGAAAAAAAAATGTAATTAATGTTTATTGAAATTTATACTTTTACTTACAATAAAAAAATATAAGGTAATTCCTTTTATATTTGAAAACAGAGGGAGTATCATGTAATACATTAAATAATGCTCGGATAAAATTTACCATTAAGCATTTTGATTAACTAGTTAGGAGGTTGATTCAATTTAACCCAAAATTTTGGATTTGATTCTTGGGTATACAATAACAATTAAATTTTTAGGGATGGTTATTTTCTTTAAAGAAGTGCTAGCAAGTTGTCAATTGGGGTAGTCTAAATAAAAATTCAAGATGCTAGAGTGAAAGAGGGGGGGAGCTTAAATAAAGTTGATCTGTTGCTGTACTTACCTAATTTTTAGTCACTGAGAAACTTAAAAAGATCTTTTTTTTTTTTTTTGGAGGGGGGGGCGCCGCTGAAAACTGAAGAGGAAAACACACGGCTCAGTGCTTCGGGCTAGAACGGCAAACATGGTGTCCAAATATTGCAACCAAGAAGCTCTCTGGAGAATAATAAATGTAAATATTCTTTCACTCTGACATTTGATGTCAATTAATTTCATCATGGATTTTACATGGTCTTCAACCTGCCTAGCCAGGTTTAAAAAAGAAACCTGGACTAGCAAGAGTATCATTTTTTTTTTTCTATTTCCAACAATCATAATAAAAAGAAAGAATGAAGGAAAGGAAAGGGGGTGGGGGGAGGAAATAAGAGGTGTTTTTTCATTTAAAGAAACAAAAACGAGAGGTATGGATTATAGTCTTAACTCTCTTAAGTTTGGTACTATATTAAAAAAGAATGAGAATATTTTTTTTATGTTTCATAGAGAAAAAAATATAATGTAAAAGTAGAAAGTCGTGCAGATAATCACATTAACAAACAATATCAATTCATCTATTCATGAAATTGCACTGCTGAGCATAAATATCAAAGGAAAAGCGTGGAAGATAGAACAGAGTGCGGGGGTTTTGACACTAGTCACGTGTCTAATATCTCTCATATACGCAATTCAAAGATGAAACGCTTGCTTTGTGTGGTACGAAGGCTTTTTATAAATTATTTTGATTTTGATGCCAGATTAAAGCACATCAGGCCAGAACAGGTAATAGATTCTAAATCAGAGGAGCTTTTACACTAAACAAAGTTTTTTTATTTTTAATGTTAATCCATCTTAGTCTCCTTTCTCACCCCTTCGTGCACTCAGAACACAGCGTGTCATTGTTCGTTATGCCGATGCCTTGAAGGACAGGTGGATAAAAACGGTGCTCCCAAGTCACCCCAACCAAACTAAGTAAGGTTTTATGGTATTTTACGCATCAGTTAATCACGTCCCATCCTCATTAATTTATCATTTTTTATTTGATTACAAAGAGATATAGTCGGCAATCCAACCCCAGTATGCGCGCTGGTGTCGGTTTAGAGTTTAGACTATGGATTAGGTCCCGAAACATCGTTTTGAACGCGTTTGAGGTTCTTCTCGAACATGTAATAGAATTTTTATTTTTTCACATGCAATGTGGAAATCTCAGTCCAACGCGCAAGGTCAGGTCGTAGCACCCACCCACGCACTATGTTGGTGACGCGTCTCATCACAATTGATTGGGAACCTTTCCTTTTGACGTTAATTTGATCACCTTTGACCTTATCCGTGAAATAATATTCCACCTCTCACATCTTCGACTTTTGAGTTTTTACTTCCCCGGACGTGTTCGAATTTCACAGACGCCGCGAAACAGAAGCTCCATGGAATCGCTTCCATGTCCAAACACGGCCTTTATTATTTTTGCAGTTTGCCAGTTCCTGCCAGCGAAGCTCCAAAATCATAATTTTGGAGGATCGAAGATAGTATTGAACGCTTTATGTAATTAACGGTGTCGTTTTGTTAGCTCGTATTGGAGAATATCTGCAACATATCGATCCCCGTCATGACAGATATTATTAAAGACTAACAGTGACTTGTTGTAGAAAAGCCACCAAAAACAGTACAGGAATATATTTTGTCGCTCGGGAAGCCTGTAATATGATTGCTTAAGAAGATGCTAAAGAAACAATAATGGAATAATTATGGATGAGATGGAATTTTATCATTCTTCAATTCACATGAAACGAATAACAATCTCTAAGATATCAATCATCACATGATGTCGGACACCAAGCAAGTTGGCTGTCTATTCAAATATGAAATCTACCCACTAATAAGATTCACACTCCATCAGATTCACATCACATATCGAACAAGAGCATCAAGGGTGAACAGGAGATCCGGAGGAGAACTACACGGATAAACATGAAAATATGACCCCAATTAAAAAAAACAAAATTACTGTGACCGTTCATGGAACGGCTAATGGAAAAGACATAAACCCCCCGAACCGCTGTTCAAGCGCCCACCTGTCAACAAAGAGAACGACGACCCAAGTCAGTTGTCGGCTTGTCGCATCTCGTCGCCGGAAGAGTAGTACCGGACAAAAAATTAAAGCAGCAGAGCAGGTAATAAATAATAATTCCTCATTATTACCGCCTAACCACGAGCGTCAAGAATCCAATTGGGGCAATTGGGTTGGGACTTGGGACCCATTTGTGCCCACATACTTATGGCCCATTGAAAATGTTGACAACGTCACTTCAAAGTTATAAATTGTTTTGAAGAAACGGGGGGCTATCGGAATTATGCGACTGTACTATTGCCGAAGGATGCGGATTGAAGTAAGATGAGAATCATGGCAAGATGAGAAGAGAAGTTTGCATGAGGGGGGAGACTTACAAAGCGGGGTGGTGATCGGTGATAAGTGATCAGTGATCACTTGGTGATGGCGTAGACGGCATAGATGATTCCGGGGAGGTAGCCGAAAATGGTGAGAACCAAGCAGATCCAGAACTCCACCTGCAGATCCATATATAATTAGTGTGTTAGCAGAAGAAGCGAATTGAGAAAGATGAGTGGCTAGAGTTGTTAATACCTTGCAGCCAAACTTGAGGAAGACTCCGAGAGGAGGCAGGATGATGGCCAGGAGGATGTCGATGCAGGTTGCTGTGCCTTCGTCTGCCATTTTTTTTGTTTCTTTTCTTTCTTCACTTAACTGCTCTGCTCTGATGATTGATTTTTGGTTTCCGGGCCGCACCGTTATTTATAATGTCACCGTGCATCGTATCCAACCGCGTCTCCACGTGGCGTCTCTCCATTAGCACACGCGGTTCCTTAATCTCGTCCATTTCGCGTCTCCTTATTTATGTTTCGACTCAAAAAAAATTCAATACAAATATTAAACTTTGTTCGCATTCCAATGAGTAAATTTCAACATATTTTATTTCAACCAAATAGTAAATACTTGAACTTTATTTTCTCATGTCCAAAATATAAGAAGGTTTTTACCATAATTACTTGTTGATAATATTTTTATTCTCTTCACTTGTTATCCTAAATTTTAATTTAATTTACAATGAGTAAAAAAATATTATAAATTTACAAATGCGACAATCCAAAGTAATAAGGACAAATATTAAAATAGAATTCATTATTTTTACAAGTACTAATAAGTTATTTATATTCTGAATCAAGATTATTTGAGAGAATATATTTATATTTTGAATCTAGAAAGTATTAATTATATAAAAAATTTAGTAAGTTCTGAACTTCTACCCCATTAAATTTATATTTCCTCTGTCCAATATTACAATACATTTTTTGAAGTCTGATGTTAAAACATACCAGTCATTTTAAATATTTTAATGTGTAATTAATGTGATATTTTTACAAGTATCCTAAGCTAGTGTGTAATTAATGAGACTCTTTAACTAGAACAACAGACTCCCTTCATTTAATGTTATAATGCACTTTTAACTAAATTACACTTGTAATGAGTTAGTTAATTATATTTAAAATTATATATTTTTTATATTTATCTTTATTTAATAAGATGTTTCAAATAGAAGAAATTTATCAATTATGCTCATAATTAAGGCTATTTAAAGAAAAACCCATTAATTGGACACTGAAATATTTGAATTGTCTTACTACCTCTAATCCAAAATATAGACATTTCCTCTAAGCTAATTTTGGTTAAAAAAAATTTTATTTTACTTCTTATATTTATTAACTTAGATTTGCATAAATATATCTCTTACCCATCATGAAGTGCATTGATAATTGTAGTTAGGAATAAAAAGGATAAACAAAATATATTTGTATAGGAATGAGAATTTTGTTGGTGTTCAATTTTTCTTAAAAATTACTTATATTTTTTTATCCAATGAAGTATTTTTTTTAATATCACATCTCAAAAATGATACCTTTATATTTTTTTGAATTTAAAAGCATTAAATAATAATAAATACTCCTATAAAAAATAATTTAAAAGCGTTCTTTTTTTAGTAGTCGACGAAAAGAAAATTTATGGAAAAATTAATTTATGAGTTCGTATAGTTTTGTTCCATTTTAAACTCAGCCCCTATAGTTTAATTTATTTTAATCAAGTCCTTATAGTTTGGTTTATTTTGTACCCATTCATTTAAAAATATAAGATATTTTTAATTAAATTTTACCTTGATAAAGTAGTTACTTATTTTTAAATCAACACTATATTTTCATGTATACCCTTGTTTAATAAAGTATTTAACTCTAAAATAAATATAAAGTAATTTATTTATTAAGAGTACTTTTAAAAAAAAGCAATGCTTGCATTTTAAAATATTGAAAATATCTTATATTTTTTAACATTCAATTCTTTAAAAAACTTTACATTTTTGAAGTGGAGGGAGCATGTTAAATCTTGAAATTTAAAATTGATATTGAATTATTAAAATTCACAAAACAAAAATACTTTTCAAATTTACAGCAAATTTAATTCTATACTTTTAGCTAAGATCAAAAAAATAAAATTTAATTTAATACATTGTTTACATTTTTATCATTTTTATGAAAATTTAATATGTATAAAAAATATTTAGAAGATAACATAGTTATAAAAATTACCCCCTCCATTGAAAATCTAAAACATTTTTAATTGAATAACATATCTAATAAAATAGTTAATTATCTTCAAATTAATATCATTTTTTCATATTTACCTCTATTTAATAGAGTGTTTTATTTTAAAATAAATATAAAGTGACTTATTTATTAAAAGCACTTTTAATAAAAACACATTAATTATACTTTGAAATAATAAAAATGATATATATTTTTTAATGGAGGGAGTATGTGATTAATTTTAAAGTTATATATTCATTTAATAAAACTATAAAAATTCTTAATTTTTTTTGTTAAGGAAAAATTCAATAATTTTAACATTCAGAATTAAAAAATTTAATTAATTAAAATATAAGTATTGAATTAAAATAAAATAAATTTAAAGAATTTAATTTAAAATTAAGTGAAATTATAAAGAGATGTAAATATATTTTCCATAAAAAGTTATTACGTTACACATGATTAGAAGTAAGCAAAGAAGAATCCAACTTGTTTTCCCCCTTGATTAACCATTCTCCATAGGGGGAGGTGTCGTTGTAAACTCAATACTCATCCACCAAAGTTCACGTGCTCAACTTGGTCTAGTTTGGTTTTATACAAAAATCAAATCAAACCAAACCAAACCAATCAATTTGCTTATGATTGAGGCCCAATTGTTTTTTGAGAAAATTGATTTGGTTTGATTTTGTTTTTTGTGTGGTTTGAATTGGTTAAAATTTATATCAAATTTCAATGCATTTATTTAATTTTTTTTAACTTACACTTAGTACGAGTGTATCATTTTTTTTTAGAGTGAGTTTATATAATCAATTGATAGTTCATAGCATTTTTTTTCATTTTCCATTAAATATTTTCAATAGCATGAGAAAACTAACAGCAAAGTGATCATATATGCACGTTTTCATATTATTAATTATTAAAAATTGATGAAACTGTAGGCATTTTTTGAATTTTATAATTTTAATTCATGGTACTTGATCAAGGTTTGCTTATTATGAATTTATGATAACATTTGAGCATAATTTTTGGAAAAAAAAATATAAAACAAAATTTGTTACTCTAATTTGCAAAAAAATACCAATAACAATGACCTTTTATTGTCAAATACATGTAATAGTATTTTTTTTGATTACAGACAATAGTTAACTAATTATAAACAAGTGTCTTTAAAAAAGCATCATAAAAATTATGGGCGATATTTTGATTGTAACATATTTTTAACTATCAATTTATGGATAGTTAAATTTAGGAAAGAGAAAAAAAAACTAGACAAATATATAAAATAAATATAATAAAGATTGATTCGATTTGGTTCATGTTTCAAGAAATAAAAACTTAAACCGAATTGAATTAATCGACTTTGCTAAAAGAAAAATCAAGCCAAACCTAATTTACAATTGATTTTGATAGGTTCATGTCAATCTAATTTGATTTGGTTTAGTGTCATTGGTTTGGACTGATTTTAAACACCCTTACCACCAAGCATCACCCACAGTATCTCTAACTAATCAACACATACCCATCTAACCCACTCCCTCTTATTATATTCATTGGTCAGTTTTAACATGTTTGACTATAATTATTTTTAAAATTTAAAATATCATTACTTATTTTGAAAAAATTAATAATTTTTTAACCTCCACTTTCTAATGAAGAAAAAAAGATTCGTGTTTAATAATTTTTTACCATTTAATTTAGACATGAAATTAAAAATGAAAGAAAAAAGTAAAATGTTTTATAAATATAATCAAAATTAATATTTTTTAATACAAGGTCATGAAAAATTGTGTAAAATTAGGTTATGTCAGGGCATATAAGAGTGCGGCATTCTGGCAAAGAGTCATAAAAAATCAAGATGTCTTTTATTATCACTCGACGCTTGATGAGCAAGCTAATCCACATATTGGCATCTCTAAAGGCATGATTGAAGTTGAAGTTCATTGATTTTTGTTATGATTTTATTTAAGGGATGATCTGGATTGTGGTAATATTGAATAAGTAATAAAGCTTTAAGGGAGTCGGAATAAATATTGATACCTCCAACAAAGAAAAGACATTTAAAAATGATCAAGAGCTCAACGACAGTGTTAAAAAAATAATTAAGATATTTGATAAAAATCAAAATTAATATTTTTTATCATAGAAATAGAATCAAATGAGTAATTCCCCAAACCCATTTTTGTAGCTCAGGGGGGTAAAACTCGTTGCACGTTACACCTGGAAGGTTGACGCCACTGAGCCAAAAGATTCATGGCAAGAAAAATCATTCTGTCTCGCAATAAAGGAGAGTATCTGGATCTGGCACGTGGGACGCCATGCTTCCAGGCTCCAGCATCCCCATTCTCCTTTGCCTTCCCACGCGCTCGCAGCAGCTTTACCCACGTTCCCTCCTCTCCTTTATGCTTGCCTCGCACGCCCTGCCTGCTCACCGCTCCTTATTTTCCCCACCGCGTTGCTTTTTACTCGCTTTCCAGTTTTCAAAGATCAGATTCGTTTCCCAGCTTTTGTTTTGTATGGATATTTATATCCTTTTCGTGATCCATTTGCATATCCAATCTCTCTAGGCTGTCATTTAAGACCGACCGTTAAAAGGACTGGGATTTAAACAAGTTAGTTATATAAAGTTTGATTTTATTTTAAAGTTTTATTTTGATTGATCCGGCCTTAGCTGTCAAGACCTCAATCCTGTATATATTTTTTATTTTTTAAAATAATATATTTAAGATCTTAAAAAAGTTATTGTACATAATATTAAATCTTACATAATAAATTTAAAATAATTTACATAATAATAAATTTAAATTTAATTAAAAGTAGCAACATCACAAAATCAACATCGATAATAATTAAACTTTACTGGCATCATCAGTTAAATCTTAATAATTTTCATTATCATCAACATTAATATAATTTAATAATTCTCCATGTGGAACCCCATCAATTATTACACATAATATTTAGTTTTAAAGTGTTTATTTTTTATATTAAATTTAAAAAAAAACATATAAAAGGATTTAAAAGGACCGGCTTTGATCCTAAAAGACTGGCTCTTTTATTTTTGAACTTAACAGGGCCAGCCCTTTTAAGCTCTATTTATCATTTTACAAATTAAAGAACAGGCTTGGCTCTAAATTTTTTCATGCTTAA